CTGTCTTTATTATGCGTTTCTTTTACTTTCTTCTCTTGCTTTGTGTGGTACATGGAGGGAGAGTGGCGACTTGAACCGGTATGCATCAATGTAAAGTTTCATGTTGAAATCAGTCAGTCAGTCACGTAAGGAGGTGAAGGCTTCCTGACTAACTGGTCGGGGTCCTCGGGGTAGTAAGGACCAATGAAGTTCAGTGACAATCTGTGATATGGCTCAAAAACCTCGTTCTCAGTGTTGGCTGGTGGAGATGCATTCACTCACTCTTTGTGATTTGTTGTTATCAATAAAACTATTCCTTTTTCCCCTAGTCATACTTTTGTTTATTATCTCTCTTTTTACCCTTACTTCTTGCTTTGTGTGTTACATGGAGGAAGAGTGGCAACTTGAACTGGTGCACATTGGTGCAAAGTTCTGTATTGAAACCAGTCAGTCGGTCAGTCAGTTAGTCTTCCTACACAACAAAAGTAACTGTTTCTTATATTTATTATTGTCAGTGTTTTGAAGTCCTACACGTGCCTGGCAAAAGTGTGGCAAAACAACTAACTGTGGAGATGTAAGAGTTAGCGTTGGCCAGTTCAGAATCTCACTTAAATCCATGAAGTGTTTGGCTGTTGGTCTGAGCCAACCACGTATTGTATAATGATGTAGATTTAGTGACTGGAGTCTTCAAGACGATAAGAACCAGTTGGTGGAGATTGTTAACGACATGGCTCACAATCGTTTACAAAGGTATAGATATATTTCCTTTTTATGAATTCCGCCGTTTTGTGCACGTTTATTCACTGAAGACTTACTCAGAAGGTTCGACTCACGCTGGCTTAAATGCATACAATCAAATTCCATCTAGTAGGGTCCAGCATGGCAATCCCTTTTACCACCTATTCCAGCTTGATGGCAACTCGGTAATATCTTCACCTGCCACATAAGAATTAAGACTCACAACATAGTGTAACGGTGGAAGACAGAAGACTTGGTAACGGGTGTTTATTTGGAGTTTGATATCGATCTCTACACAGGGAAATTATGTACACCATATATAAAATCCGTCATCTGCACAAATCTTCCGTGTTGTTGTACTATTTCTGCCCTTCGTATTGTGTGTGTTTCTTTTCGTGTCTCTCATGTTTTGCCTCAATACACTGGTTGGTTCATTTCCTCTCCTCTCTTTAACGTAAATCTCATCATCTCTCCGCTATTTGATGATATTTTGTGTGCCCATGAACGTTTCTTTGTATACTACTGATAAATCGTGTCAGTAGCACTGTCTGTCTGTCTGTTTTCGACATAGAACTTTGCACTGATGTGCACCAGTTCAAGTCGCCACACTCCCTCCATGTAGAACACAAAGCAAGGGAAGAAAGTGTAAGAAATGCAAAATAGAGACAGTAAACAGAGGTGTGAGACAAAGGAATAGTAATAACGAAGAACAAAACAGTTTCATTGGAAATCATAATCACAAGGAGTGGATGCATGAGCGCCAGCCAGCCATTGAGAACGATTTTGAGCCATGTCACCAATAGATTCCAACCATCGGTTTTTACCGTCCCGAGGATCCCAACCGGTTAGGAAGTCTACACCTTCCTACTTGGCTGGCTTAAACTAACTGTTGTGGATTTCATTGACTGATAAAGCCATGTGTTGGTTTGACCACCACTAACTAGCTCTTTTCCAACCTGGCTCTATGTCAGCTAACATTGGCCGTCGAGGAAGGCGATGTCAGTAGCACACGCCCCCCAATGGTACACGGGAAATCAAACAATGTCATTCATAAAAGTAATAATGTTGTATGCACATCCTTTGCTTCCTTTTTGCTTATTTTTTCCTACCGGTTGCCTCCAACCTTCGAATATCAGCATTTCAAAGCGCACCTTGATGGTGAGCCACCTAGTGGCATGGTGGACACATTACAAGCTTGATTGTTGAGAGCATTCAGTGTGCACTAAACACAAAGGCTTAGACATACGTTACACACTAGTTCCTACCTAGTTTCCAATCAAAGTATCCAATGCAGTGACTCCAACAGGAGATGGTCACTTACGAGACCAAATACCTCAGTGGTAGTAACGTCTCTGACTGACTGCAGTACTCACTAGGTGACTTGGGTTTCGAATCTCCGAAGGAGAGACATGAGTTCCTTCAGCGTAGTTTCAGATACGCCTTTCTGACCGCTGGTGAGAGTGCCAACTAACTAGCACCAAATGTAGGTCAAGCAAGGCGGTTTCCTAACTGACTGGTTTCAACGTAGAATTTTGCACACATATACACCAGTTCCAGTTGCCCCACACTCCCTTCATGTACCACACAGGGCAAGAGAAGAGTAAAAAGGCATTCAAAGGAGAGAGAGAGAATGAACGTAAATGCGAAAAGAAAATGTAGTAATATGGAAGAACAATAGAATTTTATTGGATACTATAAGCCACAGAGAGTGAATGCATCTTCGCCTGTCATTGGTTTTTACTATCTCGAGGATCCCAACCAGGAAATCTATACCTCCTTACGTGTCTGACCGGCTGGCTTAAACTAATCGTTGTGGATTTCATTGACTGCCGCAGTGTTTTTGTTTTAGCATCACTAGCTCTCACCCAACCTGATCATGTATTGGCAGCTAACATCGCCCGTTGTCGAGGAAGGTGATCGATGGCTAGGCATGCATGCGTAACGCATATCTTAACCCATATCAATCGGTGTAATTTCACAATCTCATCGATTGATTTTCTCTCCCTCCTTACCTAGTACTCGACCGAAGCCTAACCTGAATATTGCTCACCTTGTTATATCACCACCTAACACGAGAGATAGAACGCCAGGCACCTATGATGAAAGATAGCTCTAGCCAGGCTTTTCATGTCTTCCACTCTCAATGGGGGGGGGGGGTAAGTTCCACAACCAACCATAAAGGAGGATAGAGCGAAATTCTGAGCAGTACACACGTCCTTTGACCGACAACCAGCCGGATATCAAGTCTACTAAGCCAGAGATGTTTTAAGTTGCCGTGACCTAAACGAGCCTTCTTTATCAGTGATGAGATTTCTTTAGCGTTCAACCCGTTGGCTCTGGCTGATGCAACTCCCCAAATAAGGTGAAATGGTCGACGACATGCTCTACCACTTCAGTAGCTTGCTATCTTTAGAACAAGACATAAGTGAACAATATTGTGTACAATTAGATCTTCAGGCTTTACTCCAATTTACACAGATTTATATGTAAAAACTTTTAACTAATGACGGTGATTTTGTGGATCAAATAATAATAATAATCATAATAATGTGGTAAATGTTTTGAACGCAGTTAATAACGATAATTATAATGATAACAAAATATTGATAATAAGGTTAGTGCAGGTGGCGATAAGAATAACAAAGATAGCATATGTATATATGTGTATATGTAGACAATTCAATAAATAAATTAGGTCAAATCTTAAAAGTTACGTAATACTGAGGGTGAAGTGGACAGATAATCAGAGTTAAAATAAATATCATAAAAGTACAAAGGAGATGGAAAATAAGAAAGGGTGGGAGGGTTTTGAATAGAATTCACCTAGGCTAAGCAAGGAAGAGACAAAGGTAGAACAAACTTCTTTTGTATGCATAGGCGCCACTGCGTCGGTGGCACAGTGGTTATGACTCTCGCCGACGATTCACATGGTCCGAGTTCGATCCCCTTCCGACGCACACCTGATATCTATGATCAGCCTGCAAAATTTGGGCTACCGATATCACATGCTGAAATTTCCATACCTGTACCAAGAAATACGGTGTGGAATCAAGTTGTAATCAAAGATAAAGATAAGAATTAATTCCCATAGCTTCGGTTATGCGTAAAAAGCGGGTTCGAATTCCGTTCGAAAGGCTCGATGGAATGTGTGATAGATGACTTTGAAGGCATTACTTCTGTCTACTTGGTGACCACTACCATCAATGAAATGAGTCAAAATAGAACTTCTTATAGATTTTATTTGACCTTCAAGTCCTTATCTTCAGGCTAGAAGTCGATGTAGAAGGCGATTTCCTGTGACCGATTACCTCATCCAACCATCTCGTGCATCGGTGGCACAGTGATCAGGACTCTCGCTGACCATGCACATGGTTCGGGGTTCGAGCCCGCGCCAACGTACACCTGATATCTATGGTCGGCCTGCAAAATTTGGGCCACCGATATCCATGCTGAAAATTCCATACTTGTACCAAAAATACAGTGTGGAATCAAGCTGTAAATCAAAAATTAAATTGAAAAATTAAATCTCATATTGCCATTAGTGCTCACACAATAAGCTTGGCTCATACCTACCCCTGTCTGTCTGTTTGTTCGTGTGCTTTTGGAAGTTTATGGGCGGTTTTTACTTCCCGGCTGCCCACACCGTGGAAGTCGATTAATTCTTCGTGTGCCTGAAACAGAGTGTTGCGTAACCGCAGAGCCCAGGAGACAACTGCTTGAGGCCGGTCACACGCGGCCTGTTTTTGTTTGTACTTTTTTATTTGGTGTGTCTCAGTAGCATATTTATCACTTCTACCCTGTGACACGGAAGCAGGAAGGGCGGTCGTTGTTAATCCGGGCCCAGACCGATCCGGCATGATATTTTGTGAATTTTTTTTTGAATGATAGTATTGGATTGGGTAGCTGCTTTTTCTCTAACCGCTATCCAAACAACCTTTCTGGTATGGTAGGACCTCAAGCGACATAAGTCTCAGCCAGTATAGCTTGTTGGGTCATTGTGATGTTCAAGCCCGACCACCACGTCAAGGTAGCAGCTTTCGGTTTTTTGACCTTTAAGTCCTTATCTTTAAGCTAGAGAAGTCGATGTAGAAGGCGGTTTCCTGCGATCGATTGCCTCATCCAACCATCTCATATTATACCATCAGTGCTCACACAATAAGCTTCGCTCATGCCTACCCGGCCCCCCCCGCACCTGCTGGTACAAGAGAAACTTGTTTAAAAATAACCAAATTCGAGAAGTTTCATTCATATCTTTTGTTTTTATTATTTCTTTATTTTCACAGATATTACTAAGTTGCATTGTACTGATTTGTGTTGCTGCAACCTCCTATTGGTCACTTCATCCATCTGGTGGATGGGTGAATTTTGTTGCCTCTGTCACTTTAATCTGTTCAGCTGTCTTCTATATCTTCTATCTATTCAATCTGATCAGAAAATTACCTGGCCCATGGATTATCATTGTAAGTTTTGTTGTTCTCGTTGTTGTTGTTGTTTTTTGTTTACTGGTTTTTCCTTTTTTCCTTTCTTTCATTGGCTATTTTTTCTCGATGAGCATTCTATCTCTGTTTTTATGTCGATGTCGTTATGAACGGATACCGTCAGTCAGATGGATCATTGATGAAAGCACTGAGGGTGCAGCCATTGGACAATGGATTCATCTTAGTTGTTAGGATTGTTTGGCAGGATACATGCCCTTGAGAACTCCAGGGATCTTCAGGGTTTTTTTTTAAAAGACGAGTTCATTTCTGTGACCCACGAGTAATCTAGCGCTTCATCGTCGAATTATTACTATTATTATTATTTCCTTTAATTCCTAGAGGAACATAGGGCTTCAGCTGTGCGTCTCCTTTGCATTACGTTTTCTGCCAACGTTTTCACCCCGTTCCAAGTCTGCCCACATACTTGCATCTCCTCTTCACATGGCCTCCTCCTCCTCCATGTCACCCCACCCTCACACTGACAACCAACTCTCCGCTTCCCATTCGGGTTCCACTTGAGAGATGGCTTGTCGTGTGATGTCACTTGATAGTTTGTTTTCTCAGAGTATGGCCAGCCAATCCATCTCCATTTCTTCCTGCCTATTTGTTTCACAATCGGTTCCTGGTTGGTTTGCTCCCAGAGGTGCGTGTTTCTGATCTTTTCTGGCCGGCCATCTGATCTTGAGTATTGAGCGAAGACAACTGTTAATGATCCGTACAGTGAGTAGCACTGACTTCACATTGGAGTTGAAAATCCGGATGTTATTTTTGATGCTGAGTGCTGTTGACTGCCACACAGACTTAAAAGTAATGAAAGCTTGTCTTGCTTTCAAGATCCTCGCTGCTTTGATATCCTCGTCAGTTCCGACCGCCTGTAGTTGAAACAATGCTTCCCAGCTAGGGTGGTGAAGGAGGTTGTTTCTTTCAAGTTCCTCCCATTTATGTTGGCTGATTGTTGCTGTTGGTGTTGGCCAGGAATCTTCATCACCTACTTCTTTTTTCTCTATGTTCCCCTGAGGGAAGTCCTATCTTTGATTGATGCTTCTTCTGCCATCCTCGAATAGATGAACCCAATCCATCACAACTTTTTATTTTCACCTTCTCTGTCAATCTAAATGTGTAGTATTGGTGTATGGGGTCGCCTCATTGAGCTTAATTTCTCGTTTCTAATATTTTTGGATTTAATATATAGGGATTGTTATAGCTTCTACGGTTTGAAGAAGTGTTTAATTGGTACACCTTTAACAAGATTTCCACATATTCTGTAGATGAAGTTAGTTTGTGAGTGCTTCCTTGGTGCGCTTAGTGTCGATCAGGTAGGTGTGCAAAGGTGTGGAGGGGGAATCTTTTTTCTCCTTTATAAAACTATCAGGGTAAGTGAATGTTCGATGATATGTTCGAGTACGGCGTTGTCCTCTTTGGCTCAGAATCCAAGCATGTAAATTAGCTGTTAAAAGATACGACATGTTGTATTCTTTCATATCAATGCATATGGAAATTTGTTATTTATTATTATTATTCCCTTGGTTCCGAGTAGAACATAGGGCTTCAACAACACATCTCCTCTTCAGTTGGGTCCACGATTGCCCATAATCTCTCATCTCCTCCTCCCCAACCCTCCCCTCTCACGGATGATCCACTCGTCACTTGCCATTGGAATTCTACTCGAGTCATGGGCTGCATTGCATGCGATGTCATTTGACAGCCTCCTCAACGTATGTCCAGTCCACCTCCATTTTGTTTGTTTGTTGAGCTATCTACTCTTGGTTGGTTTTGATAGGATCCCACATATTTTGGTATTGACTGTTTAAACTTGCATATATGGTATGTTATCATTCTCACACATTTTGGTATGACTGCTAATTTTGTATATATGGTATATTATCATTCCCACACATTTGTTACTGACTGTCAACCTCGCACATATGGTATATTATCATCTCTCACGCACTTTGTTATTGGCTATTAAGATCAATTATTTCAAATGCTGTTAGCTGTCCATATTGTTGTAAAATGTATAAATACCATGGCTTTCTTTGTCGTTGTTGCACTTCAATACACAGTCACAGTCCAGCCTTTGTCTTTTGATATTTGCGTGCTTTACTAAGTCGGAAGGTACGACGAGCAGATAGGCAGATAAGTTCAGTGCAGACAGAATAAGGTGGAAACGTCTTCATTCAATTCCCCACAGATATAACAAATTGGCGACGGGGTTTACCTTAATTCAGTGCAGTTAAACAGGTTTGTTCCAAGCCAAAGCTTCCTGTTGCTAGTTGTTTTATGCTAGCTGGTTAGCCATTTGATCTTCAGTATGGAGTCAGCAAAGTGGACAGCTGTTGATTAGAGTCTCCAGTGACCTGTTGGAAATCCTTTTCGTGACACACAGTGCAAGTTTCTAACTGATATAGAAGCGCTGATTGACTTCACATGGGCGTTGAAAATCCGAATATTATTGTTTATGCTGGCTGAGGTGGAGTGCAGAAGATTTTTTTTTGATTACAGCTTGATTCCACACCGTATTTTTGGTACAAGTATGGAATTTTCAGTGGGGATATCGGTGGCCCAAATTTTGCAGGCCGACATGATATCAAGTGTGCGTCGGCGTGGGCTCGAACCCCGGACCATGTGCATGGTCGGCGAGAGTCATAACCACTGTGCCACCGACGCACAAACTGGTTTCAGGTTGGCTTGAAGGCTTGCGTATTCTGCCTTTCTGACATTTACTGAAACTAATTTGATTGAATTACTAAGCCGCATCATCCTGGAGAGAATCAGACACGCTCTGGATAAAAAAACTCCGACTGGAACGGGACTGGATTCAGAAGAAACAAGTCATGCATTGATCAAAGCGAAACACTACGGATCATCATTGAACAGAGTTTGGAATAATAGTCAGCTCTCTATCTCAACTTCATTGGCTTTGAAAAGGCCTTCAGCAGACAGTGTCAATCAAGAGGTGATTTGGCAACTACTTCGCTGCTACCAAGGGGTGCCGCCAACAGTTATACACCTCATCCAACAGTTGTACGATAATGCTGCGTGCCAAGTAATCCATAACGGGAAACTCACAGAATCTTCCGATGTGAAGACGGGAGTAAGTCAAGGCTGGCTGGCTGTCTACTATATCCAATTATTTCCCTAATTGTGGGCGGTAGACTGGATGATGCGACAGACAGCGGCAGGCAACAAGAAGACGGGCATAAAATGGAGCCACATGAAAAAACTTGGGGATCTGGATTTTGCCGATGATATATGTCTGATTTTCCACAAACTGAAAAATACGCGGAACTGGCGAGGATATCAACGCGAGGATCGTGAAAGCAAAACAAACTTTCATCTCTCTCAAGTCTGCGTGAAGGTCAACAACACAGCATAAAAAATAAGATCCGGATTTTCAACTCCAATGTGAAGTCACAGTGCTACCTACCATACGAATCAGAAACTTGGCACTGCGACACAAAGGCCACTTCAAACAAACTACAGACCTTCATCAACAGCTCTGTCTCTGCTCAATACTACTCAAGATCAGATAGCAAGCCAGAAAAGATCTGTAACAGGGATCTCTGGAAGCAAAATAACCAAACAGGAAACAATTGTGCAACAAATATTCAGGAAGAAATGGAGGTGGATTGGTCATACTCTGAGAAAGAAAAAAAACCAACATCAAGTGACATCACACGCCAGGCCATGGCTCGAGTGGAACTCGAGAATGGGTATGAGAGTGACTTGAAGGAGTTCATGCGTAGAGGAGATAAAAGCATGCGGGCAGACGTGGAGCCAGGCGAAAACGTTGGTAGAGAACCGAACGTAATGGAGACGTGCGACTGAAAGCCCTATGTTCCTCTAGGAATTAAAGGAAACAATAATAATAATAATAATTTGGATAAAGCAATAAGAAGACGTAATTTGTCTAAGTCGTGTAATGCATTTACGCAACACATTTCGAACAATCTGAACCATCACACACGGACTTGTCATAGGAATGTGTATATATGAAATTAATAAAGAGGTAAGATGTGAGAAAATAGACAAGTTAGGCCAAGTTAAAAGGACGACATATTGAAGGTTAAAATAACAATGAAGATCACTAAACCAAATAGCAGAGGTAATAGTACATCTCCTGTGGTATCAAAACAAAATTTTACCAAAGAAGGTTTAATGTGATGACGAATTGTTGCTTTGAAAGCATAAAGGCGGCTTAAACTTTATAATTGCTAGGGCTTCCACAAACTTTAGGATACGCCCCAAACACGTTTTATAGATAGGTTTAATTTTATGTCCTGTCTCCTCTGTGATATGTTTCGCAATAGAAGAGCTAGGTCTCCTGTTCTCACCATTCATGGGTTCTGAAGATTCTATTTGTTTTTGGAGCCATTTAGGAATATGCTGTGAAGCCAGCCCTTACTTAAAGAGATCGATGAGTCCTCCCTATGTATGTGTGTCCACACGTACATTCAAATTGGTAAATACAATGAGAGGATGTGACATCATTTTTCACATGCCCAAAGGGCTTAGATAGATATAATGGCTTTACATTCTCTATTATTATGATATTAGCTGTATAAAAAGTCTTTTTAACAGCAGCGTTCAGTCTTTGTTTGGTTATCAAGCTGCTTTGATGCCCCATATATGGGGTAGCTTGATGTACACGTATTTCTTAGGGGTGAGTTGAAGAATGGGTCTTGGTGTTCGACTGACTGCTTTATATCTCCACACTACTCATTTTTTTTTTTTGCCTTCCTTCCACTGATGCAACTCTTCTATTTGATGGCTCTTCACTTCCTCTTCACTCTGTGTCCACTAAAAACGACGGAAGCCAAACAGCCACACTACCGATAGTCTCTTAAAGCCACGCCACCAATTTCATATAGGAGCATTTAATGTTAGGACACTTTGCTGAATAGGACAACAAGCATCACTAGCCAAGACTCTGGCGTCCTGAGCCATTGATGTATGCTGTGTTTCAGAAACATTTTGTCAAACAAAAACATGGCTTAACCAGTCAATGAAATCTACAACAGTTAGTCTGAGCAACCTAGGAAGGTGTAGACTTCCTGACTGGTTGGGGTCCTCGGGATGGTAAAAACAAATAGTTGGAAACAATTGGTGATATGGCTAGCTCAAAATCGTTCTCAATGGCTAGGCTAGTGCAGATGCATCCACTCCTTGTGACTTATGATTTCCAATGAAACTGTTTTGTTCTTCGTTACTACTATTCCTTTGTCTCACACCTCTGTTTGCTGTCTCTATTATACATTTCTTCTGCCTTCTTCTGTTGCTTTGTGTTCTACATGAAGGGAGCGTGGCGACTTTAACTGGTGCACATCAGTGCAAAGTTCTATGTCGAAAACAAACAAACAGACAGACAGACTTGAAAATTGACCTGATACTCACTAGAGACTGGCTTCATTCAGGCAGTTAACCTGGGGCTCTAGAGGAAAGCCATGACCAGTAGGGTGCAGCAGGTTGAAGGTGACCCAGTAACTCATCGAAGAAGATATTGCGAAGTGGTCGTGCTATTTGGTGCGTGAATTGGTAGAAGTTAGAATTTATGGGCTGGCCATTGGATGATCGGGTCCCAGTGGCTGCCTAATGGTCTACGAGCTAGCTGGCCTTGTAACCAGAAGGTCCTGGGTTCGAACCCTGGCGTGATGGTGGGTACATACTGATGAGGAATTGGTCCCAAAGTAGGCTGACGAAACAGCTGGCTGTCCAGTACTCCCAGGTGGTTTTCCAATGGTTCTCTAACCGATGATGTCAGCTCATCATGATGAAATCCTCCAACAAATCAAATAAAAATCCCTACAAAAACCAATACTTGAAAATTATTAAATGGTTTCTTTCTTTTTAACTAATTGAATGTTATTTATGTGTCTTTTCTCTATCTCCCTTGAAAAGAAGTTTTTCCCCCTGGCCTTTAAAAGTCAGTTATCAAATGACTTTATACTTTATTGTAAGTGTGTTTGTTTGTCAAAGTTTCCGGCATACATGTGTTATGTCAAGCTGTTATCCTTCTTTTTATTTTAGACTTGTTGTTTCATCTTATCGATTTTTGTTTTCATTGGTTTGTTCCGTTGTGTTCTGTTTTTTAAAAAGTTTTTTTTATTTTGGACAGTAAGTGACTGATAGTATGTCGGTTGTCTTCCTCGTATTCCTCTATGTTTTATGGTTACTTGTTTGTTTTTTGGATTGACAAAACTCCTCATTTATACGTTGCTCCCCTCCCCCCTAACCTAACAACCTGGTACGAACGAGTGTGGGGGAGTAGACGCCGGTCTCCATTTCATTTGGTGACGCATTCATTGCTTACCTCTGCCTGGTAAGTCATATTCACTGCTTCCACTTGACAAAGGCTGTTCCTCACAAAAGGGGGGAAGGGTGAATGCGAAGGTTTGGTGCACCTACAGCCGGACGAGTGAACATCCAGGTTTACCTACCTACGGAGCAGAGCTGGAGAACCCTGCTTCCAAACCTATGTGGTGTAAATATGCGCAGTAGTATTATTTGGAGGGACTTGTTTCTTTTGCACACAGATCACTGGTTGTTTGAGGCGAATTACAGTAGCCTCTACTGTTTGGAGCATGCGGTGTTTTGATGTTTTTGACAATTTATAAGGCAGGCACCTGGTAGATGATAGAGAAGGATTCTTCAATGCTGGCTGGTTTTGTGGCCGGTTTGTACCAGATGGTTCAATATCGAACTGTCAGTGGTTTTTATTACACCTTTACTTAGCCAGCCATACTAGGAGATGTTCTTGAGCGAGCATGAAAAATCAAGTTCCTAGAACAATGGCCAATATAACTCGCTCCACCACAAGCAGCGCAGTTGAACTGGTAGATACAATTGCAAGTGGCCAGCTAGTCGAGGAATCACTATCGGCCGTGTAGTTTGCCGCCAGCATTAAAAGTTCTTTGAACTGAAGTTAATAGTCTGACATTTGGAGGGATTTCAGCTAAGACCACTGGTTTATATCAGAAACAAAAAGGTGTGAAGTTTCGAACAAGGCATTCGTCTGTCTTAATTTTTTGCTTTACGAGTTCATCTTTTACATATCAAGCTTGAGGTTATCGAAATCCGCCTGAAGAAGTCGAACTTGTGTGTGTGCGTGTGAGTGTTCAGAAAGAATTCGTACAGACACACTTACCTTGATCCCCCTAGCCATCATTATTTGACAATAGAAATCTATCAATTTCACGCTTCACCTAAACCATTTATAAAGAAGAGAACACGAAGTTCAGTAAAGATATCTCTGCCTTTTCAGCGATTTCATTTTCAAAAGCAGCTCCACAATCGCATTTTAAATACATAATTTTTACATGGATACATAATTATGACGGCGAATAATAGGTGACAATTATTTTCAACTAGATATGGTTTTTACGAGGAGAGGCTTAGAAACAAAATGAACACAGGATTAGAAAGGATAACAAGTGTGTAAAAAATGAGCGAGCATGGAAACAAAATTGAAATAATAATAATAATCAACTTGAAATGGAAGTTAGGAGGTGTGAATATAGATTACAAGCGCCTTAGAAACACAAAAATTACACAGGATTAAGATATAATTGTAAAATTATTATTTTTTTTAAACGAATTATAAATGTGAACAGGAAAAGCATGGAAACAAACTTGATACAAAACTGTTTTTATAATTGAAAATAGAAATGGGGTGAATCGAATGATGAAGACTAAGGGAGTAAGAATCTAGATACGATAGAGAAGATTTGTAGCTCAGGTGAGTGATTTCGAGGTGGTTGTGTTCTCTGAGCTTGCAGGATAATTCATTTGTGAAGCTGTCACCACCCTACTAGGGGACATCTTCAGCGAATACTTCAATCTATTGAAGGGAGCTTTTAAATTTCTCCATGAGTTTATTAATCAGGTGGGTGACCTTGAACGTGATTGGTTGTTTTTGTGTATTTTCAAACCTTCTAGGCAGCTACTTGTATTGGAACTGATTGTTTCTTTGACTTGAACTTTGACCCTTTGTGTGTGAAGTTTCTTTCTTATTGGTTGATAAATTTTGTCTATCTCGATGTGTCTATTGATTGATGATTCACTGGAATACCAGCCAAGCTTCTAAAAATTCTCTAGCATTCTTGTTATTTCCTTTGTCTAATATTTGAACGTTATCCCAGTCGAATTGATGTCCGTAGTTGTCTGTGTGTAGTGAAATGAGGGAGGGAGTGGATATCATGTCTTTTGACGGCTAGCTTATGTTCGTGGATACGAAGACGAAGGAGACGTCCACTTCGGCCAATGTAGTGTTTTTCGCAGTTGTTACAATTTATTTTGTAGGTGATGTTGGTTTTATCTTCTTTCGCTGTTGAGCTTTTTGGTTGACATAGAATTGAGTGAAGTGACTTTGTTGGTTTGTGTACGAAGTCAATTCCTAAAGGTTTGGAAAGTCTTGTAGTGATTTCTGAGATATCCTTTTATATGGTAAGGCGATTTTCTTTGTGCTTTCCTTGGTGGCTTTTGGTTTGATAGGTTGGCTTGGCGAGGGGGAATGTCTGTTGATGAAATTCCGTGGATATCCATCGATTCTTTTGGAAGACGTCCATGAGATATTTTTCTTCAATTTTCCTTAAGGTGGGAGTGCTGCAATGAGTCCTGGCTGGTCCTCTTGAATAGTGTTTGTATGCAATTTCTTTTGTGTGTTATTGGATTGTTGCTGTTGTAATTCAGGATATGGTCTGTGTGAGTTGATTTTCTATAAACTTGAGTTTCTAATTCCCCTGTGGGTTGTTCGCTTGACTAAGACGTCCAAAAATGAAGAGTAATAATCTCACACACAACAAACGAAAAAGGATCAAAAAGAAAAAAGAGAACGAAAGAAGGAAAAAGGGGAGCTAAGTGTCCCCGTGGTAGTTGTAGAGGTTGGACTAATTTCTTCCGTACACACAGCTCCGGCTTCTCGATGCATATTGCCAGGGCTTCTGCAGTAGTGCAAAGAAGTCGGAAACATACAGCTTTTGGTAGGTTTTTGTTGTCTTTGTAAATCACTTTCAAAGAATCAGTTGAGATGTTGGGGTGGGTGGGTAGCTGTTGATCTCGTAAACCATATCTAGTTGAAAATAATTATCACCTTTTATTCGCCGTCGTAATTATGCATTTAAATGCGATTGTGGAGCTGCTTTTGAAAATGAAATCGCCGAAAAGGCAGAGATATTTTTGCTGAACTTCGTGTTCTCTTCTTTCAAATGTCCATATGGGTGTTTTCCACAATCTAAACCATTTATTTACAAGTATAATTATTGTCGTTTCAACTATTATATATATATTAATTAGTATTAATATTATTCTACTCTTTATTGATCTTGTATTACTTTTTTTAAAATACTTTAGGAGTTCTCTGTTCTCCTGATATGCACCTTCTTTTGGTTTATAACGTTAATTGTTGCAGCAGCAAATCATTATAAAGGCTCTGGAGCGATTGCAGCAGCTGTAAGTTGTTACAGGATATTATTGCGTGTTAATTTGATGTATGTGTGTGTTGCATCCTACCTACCTGACGCGTTCACGTTGTGCTTTTACGTCGCGGTTGGGTGGGTGGGGGGCGTTAGCGCTAGAATGCTTGCCAGCAATATCTAAAACAGACGTATCGGCCTTAATTCCTGAACGAGGACTCACTCCTCACTCAACGTTACCTAACCAGTAGGAAACCTGATGACGAGAGAAGGCCTGGTTGTGAGGCTAGTATATCCATCCTGTAAGAAGTAACACAACGTCTACTAAGACTTCAAGGTTTTAAATGCAAAGACTGTTATCCAACCCAGAATGTCTGTCTGTCTCTGTCTGGATTCAACATAGAACTTGGCACCGAAGTGCACCAGTTCGAGTTGCCACCTTCCAAATAGCACACAAAGGTAGATAAGAAGATGAGTGAAGAGAATCAATAGAGTTTGACGTGTATAAGAGTGAAATAGAATGGGTAATGGTAGAAAGGAATATGAAAGGTTACGGAGACTGAATACATCTGAGCTGGCCATTGACAACGATTTTGAGCCATGTCACCTATTGTCTCCACAGCCATTGGATTGATTCCTAGAGTCCCGAGGGTCCCAACCCGGAAGTCTGCATCTCCTACCCTACCTGACTGACTCAGTTTAACTGTCAAGGATTTCATGGATTGATGAGGCCATGTTTTTGTTTGGCCACCACTTACTCTTTTCCAACCTGCACCACCTGTATCAGCTAGTAATGCCCGTCGGGGGAGGCGACGTTTAGGCATGCGTAGCACGTGACCTAGCCATCTCAATCTATGTAACTTTATAGCCTCGTCGATTGATTTTCCCTGTTTGCCCAACACTCTACGCCTAACGTCAACATTACTTATCTTGTGAAACCACCTAACGTGAGACAGAGATCGCAGACATCTATGATCGAAAACAGTCAACCTTTTCATGTCTTCAACTCGTATTGGCCATGTTTCACAGAGCCATAGAGAAAGACGGGGTGAACTGGTGAGCAGTACACACGTCCCTTGGTTGATAGCCGGATGTCACGCCTACGCCAGAGATGGTGTAAGTTGGCGAAAGCAGCTCGAGCTTTTTGGATCTGTGGTGAAAAGCATAGAAATGAAGCGAAATTTGTGGTACTTTATCATTTGTTATATTGCTCCCTTGGATTCCCACTGCAACATGAGGCTTCAACAACAACAACAACATATCTCCACTTTATTCTATCCAGTGAAACGAATTTCACCGGAGCTGAGGTTCTTGTCATCCAAACGGTAACAAAAAAAATCCACAACTTTGTATTCAAAAGCGTTTTATTCAGACATGCATATATGACCATCTGGGTGTTAAATTCATTTTATTGATTTGTTGCGTAATATGTGTCTATGTGATTCATTTTTTTGGTGAGTGCAACTCAGTTTTTCAATGTCTTGTGTGCTCTTTTTTTTCTCTTATCAACTGTCTCCAAATAACTATTCATCGATTAGTTACGTGATATGTATCCATTTATATATATATGTGTGTGTGTATGTATGTTGGTCTCTCTTTCTGTTTGCTCGCTTAGTCTGTGACCATTTCACTTTGATGAACTTGTCTCCTTTAATAATGTATATTCTCCTTATATTATATTATATATAATATGAGTGTTTGTTGACAGTCCGTTGCTTGGTGACATTTATTCCACATATGGTGGTTGTTGACATGTCTGCTATATTTCGCTATGTATATATGGATCGATACTTCATGATAATTAGCCATTCATGTTAAGACTGTCCAATGATTGTTCACACACTGTCTGGACATGAATCTATATATTTTGCATTCACAATCTTGTGACTTTACTTTAACTTACCACTTTGGTAGGATACCACTATTGCATTCTCCTTGTGTTTGGAAAATAGAAGTATCATCGCAAACCTAGTGGTCTTCTGATTTCCGCCTTCTTGAGTCAGGACTATTAGTTTCTCGACCAGTACATAACAATTTACCGACGAGTACATAACATTACGCAATATAAACTTAATATAATCATTATTTTTCATACGCAACGATTGCTCAGACATCATTTCGATTTATCTTTATTATTACTACCATTACTAAGTGTTAAAATGACCTTTCGACCTTTGTTGACAAATCACGTTGTACACTATAGAACACCTGAATAACTAACTAACTAAATAACTGTACCTGTTTCAAAAGAGAAGTTATGAAAAGGGGACATGTCTTTCTTGAATTCTGTGTGCGTATCCTTAATTGACTTGTATGTGAATACAGTTGACACAATAACGAGTATGTTTCAAATTTGATGAAAAACTGATTTCAGTTAGCGAAGCAACTCTTAAAAAAAAAAAGAATTTTGGTGCTCACAAGTCACATACTACAGGATAAAGTTGCCTGAAGTTTTCTAGTGAGAAGTGTTGACTAGCCAGGGTCCACTAAGTGAGGTGTGAGGACAAATTCCCATGGAGGACATTTGTCTGACGGTCAGTGTTCACGTGTTTATCGCAGGGTTGACAGACATTACAATTAATAAGACATTGGATTCCCACCTGTCCAAGTGACTACTGAATGATGAATGAAGTCGCCTGGTGTAACCTGAGGGATTTGGATTAGATCCCTGGAAGTGGGGTCATAAGTATGCACTGATGAAGAGTCCCAAACTAGGACGAAACAAATACTCAGCATCCCTAGGTTTTTAGCGGTTCTTTAACTGAAGTCTATTCATGATTAAACATGTAGCCAGTCAAGTCCCTGCAAGTATATGAATTGTTAGAATTCGTCACGAACGAAGACGAGTTGAAGGCCGTTGATAGCCCTGGCTTCCAATGGTCTCCATTATTTTATTTATATATTTAAACGCATAAGAACTTGGTACTATATGGCACCAAGAAGGATGCGCCACACAATAGTAATAAAACAACATAGATCAAAGAAAGAAAAAATATATAAGTAGAGAACGGATAATGAACTTCATCTGGAAGGAAAACAGTCATGCTTAACAAGTTCAAACAGTATTCGTTAACTATCATCGGGAAGGGAAGAAAGAAGGAAATTGCAACACGTGTAATAGCATGCGATACGTTTCATTGATTGTTTATTGCTTCATTCAATTCATTGTGTGAGGGCTGAGAGACTGCCCGGGCGCCCAGACAGAAGCGGGTGGTTTTATTAAGGGACCAACCCCCGAACCTTTGACTTGGAGTCTAATCCGCAAGGCAACGGAGCTGCGTTAGGAGCTGCATTCCCATGGTTTCCGGTGACCCATAAGGGTTCATACGCCATTTGATTCGATTGGATACTGGAGCCCATGTACCCCATGGTAACTGTTTTAGTTTAACCGCTATCCAAACAACCTTCCTGACATGGTAGGACCTGCAGGGACAGAGTTCCAGTCAGTTTAGCATGTTGGGTCATCGCGGTATTCAAGCCCGACTACCACAACAAAGTAGCGGTTATCGGCCGGGTCCAATGGCCTCTAACCAATGTTAGTTCTTGGCGAAATCTAATAACTGAAATTAATTTAAATCTTCTGATCTAAATGTCAGTCTCCAGGACTACCGGTTGGATGTCGTTGTGGTGGGGTTGCTCAGGTCGACTAAGACCTGTCCAGAAATCGGTGCATATGACCATCTCTGCAGTTGATTCTACTTACTGCAGTATGTGACTTGTGGTCCGCAGATGTGGTGGGTCAGTTTCTGCAGACGTCCAGTGGCAATCGTTACCTCTTGGTGGTGACGGAACATGCTACACAATAGGTAGACGCTGTCCTGATCCTTGATCAGTGCGCAAGGACCCTGAATGACACAGTAGTTTGACACATCTTTGCAGACCATGGTGTACCATTGAAAGATCAAGTTCCTTGTTTTGAAAGTAAAGAATTCACTGCCCGTTTCCAACAGCTGAGGATTAAGTAGATCCGCACAATACCATATTATGCACAAACGAATAGTATGACAGAGAAAGTGGTTGACCTCGAATGGAGGTAACTAGAGACAGAGCTTCCATTGATTCTACTAGCACATCGTGCTTCCTTCCAACCAAGAAACAACAAAGAAGTCGCCATTTTCGTTGATGTTTGGAGGGGAAACCACGAGTATACAAATACACAGCGCATCTCGTGTGGCGCCTTCACCGGGAACGGAATATGATGAGGCAGTGAATGAGATGGAAAGAAGCCGACAGGAATGTAAAGTGTGCAGAGAAGAAATCAGAACAGGGAGATAAGGCGGGATGCATAACCTATGCGTGTGACTAAGGTGAGGCAAACTGGCCTGGTGGACAACCGCCCCCACACATCGTAACCAGTGGAGACAAGATCAAATCCCCAGGTTCGATCCCTTGTCTTTGGGTCATGAGTGGTGTTTACTGATGAAGAGTCGCAAGCTACGATGAAACAGCGTCTAGTGTTACTCTATCAATGGTTTTTAAGTGTTTCTCTAACTGATGTGTCAGCTTGTAATCAAACTTGAGTTCGCGTGACGTAATATATATATATATATTACGTCATGCGAGCTGTAATCTGGAATAGATAAGATATCGCTTTTGGCCACTTTACATGTGTATTTATCAATATACTTATTCCTCTGGAGCCAAACCTACCTGCCGTACACAACGTCAAGTTTATAAATGTATTTTTGAACACTATCCAGCTAGGTTAATCTGAGGAGAAAAGACGGAGTACCAAAAGCGCTATCCTCAACTATCTGTCGTCACTTCCTGGACACTAGCCACCCCGGAAGGATGGATGCATGGATAGAAGAAGTTACTTAGGAAAACGCAATGATTTCCTTCGCCTAATTCTTCTTCTCTTTCGTGTTTTCCGAATTAATTCTGGGGCTATTCGAATTTTCCCAGGTCATATGTAATAAAACATAGAAGAATACATATATGTATTCTTGAAAATAATGAATTTAAAAGGATGAGACTGTTTGTTATATAGATTACCTTTCTCTGATGTGTGACCAAAATACCTCTCAGTTTTGGATT